TGGGGCCTGAGAACCGGCTGCTGTTCCTACCTGCTGCAGGTAAAGCTGATGCAATCGCATCCATTCCTTCTCCAGACAGTGGTTGAGCAGGGCCTGGGCTGTCTGCTCCCCAGAAGCAAGGATCTACTTTCCCTTTCACAGACTGGTAGGACAATCTCAACTGTGTCCTTCATTTTCTTAAAAAAAAAATAATAATAATGGTAAAATATACACATTTAGTGAAATCCAAGTAAAATAAAAACATGGTGACAGATGGAGAAAAGACTCACACTGTCCCTGATTTTATTTCACTTGGATCCACAAACACCACCCACTGGTAGCAGTTGTTATTGTTGTCGTGATCTGTAAATTTGGAACCGACCCACAGCTGACCCTCCAATGGGTTTTCAGAGGCAGTTAATCGTGCAGGAGGAGATTGCCCATTCCCAAGGGGCAGCTGGTAGATTTGAAGCACGAACCTTTGGGATTGCAGCACAGCTCCTTGTATCAGAAGATATGCTGTTTTCAACCAATATCCATTGAATAAAAAATAAAAGATATGCTGCACTGGGGAAATAGGCTATTAAGGGTGCTACCATGCTTTAGCCAAAGTGCAAAAGAGCAATGATGTCAGTGTATAGACTAAGATGTGCCTGACTCAAGCTGGTTGTTGTGGGGGGCCATCTAGTCAGAACCGACTCATAGTTGACCCTCCAGTGGGTTTTCAGAGGGTGTAAATCACATGGGAGGAAAGCACCCACTTTTCTCTAGCAGAGCAGCTGGTGGAGTCAAACCACATGCTTTTGAGTTGGCATCATAACTTTGTACCACTCAGCCACCAGGGCTCCCTAAAGCAGGCAGCAGTATTTTCAAAGCATCTGAAAGTTAGTCAACAAATAAGAAAGATGGAGAAAGAACTGATGCCTCTGAGCTGTGGTGTTGGCAGGAGTACAGAGTACCCTTCAGATGGCCAAACGAACAAGTCTGTCTTGGCAGAAAGTACACCAGATGCTTCGTAGAGGCAGTGATGATAAATCTTCATCTCATGTACTCCGGACACATTGTCTAAAGGGCCTAATCCTTGGGAAAAGTCATCGTGCTGGCCAGGGAAAGAGAGGAAGACCCTCAACGAGTCACACAGTGGCTGCACCAGTGGGCGTGAGGAGAACAAAGACTTAACATGGCACAGGATTGGGCAAGGTTCATGTCTGTTGTTTTTAAGGTCACTGTAAGTCACAGCTGACTCTCCAGTACCTACCAACAAGATATACAAACGTCTATGTTGGTGTGAACCAGCGAACTGGTGCTGACTCATTCCTGACCCTCCAGTAGGTTTTCAGAGGCAGTCAATAGCACAGGAGGGGACTGCCCATCTTTCTCAAGCAGTAGCTGGTGGATTCAAACCTCATGCTTATGGGTTGGCAGTGCAAGACCTTACCACTAAGCCGCCAGAGCTACAGACAAAAAGTTGCCATTTCAACTCTCTTTGAATGTGCTATTCAATAACACTCATTATTCAGCAAGCTGTGTTAACTTTCACCACCACCTACTTCCAAAAATTCTTCACTGCCCCAGACGTCCAGATCGTCTTTGGTAATAATTCTCCATTCCCCCTCGGCCGCTGGCAACACTCATCCACATTTGTGTCTATGGAATCGCCTATTATAGGTACTTTCTTTAAACAAGTGTGCACAGTCCTTGCGTGTCTGGCTTCTCTCACCTGCATGATGCTTTCAAGGCCATCTGTGCTATGTAGCGTGCAACAGCTACTTCCTTTTTTCTCAGTGGCTGACTTCTACTCCTTCTTGGCACAGATATGTCACCTTGGGTTTCTGCATTCATCCACTGAAGACCTTTCACTTTTTAAAACAGGAATGGCTAACTCCACATGGACAAGTGGCAAGGCTCCCTGTCACCTCCTCTCCCCCTTCCTCTAGTATTTCTCATTCACAGCTGGGTGCAATGTGTACTGTGTTGCATCTTTGTGCAGGAGACACTCCCAAGGAAAATCCCCTGGGAAAAACAATCAATTTACCTGTTATGCCAAAGGGGCTTTCAGTGGGAAAGAATCAGGGGTGTGGGGAACGGCTTTGGCTGCTCAAGAGCCAGGACAGAAATCCCCCTGTGGACAGGCCGGCATGGGGCCCTGGGAGTGCCCAGGTGCTCTCCATCTCCATCAGAGCAGCCACGGCTGGTCCCAGAGTCACCCCAGGAAAAGGAAAACCCCACATCTCACAGGCCTCCCAGAGCGTCATAGTGGATGGAACCATCTCCAAGCTCCAAACTGACTGGATTCGATCAGCAGCATGTCAGTACAGCCAGGGGGTGACCGACCACTCAGCATTCTGGTACAGCCAGGGGGTGACCACTCAGTATTCCCAACATCACCAGTGTCAAGTGCTGAACATCACCACCTTTCAGCAGGTGCTCCCTGCGTTTCTCTGCATTGACACATGACACCCTGGACTTCCAGCATGTTGTTAGGAGAGGCTATTCCCTGGGAAGAGGCATCATGCTTGTAAAGATGGGGGGACAGTGAAAGAGAGGAAGATTCTCAACCAAGTGGATGGACACAGTGACTGCAGCAATGGGCTTGAGTGTGTCAGAGATTGTGAGGATGGCACAGGAGAGGACAGGGTTCAGGACAGCTCGTTCATAGGGTCATCATGAATTGTACTCTACTGGAGAGTACTTAAACAACCACCACGCTGGACAGCGTGTCATTCCCATGAGCGTGGAGGTGGAGGCCCCACTTTTGTGGTGGGTCTTATGACACCACCACCTAACCCTAACCCCCATGTGCATCCCAAGGCTGATGGAGCTACTCTGAGTCCCACCACATACAGTGGGATATGCCAAGTGTGAAATCAGAGTGCCACTCACTGAATGATTTTTATGGGCAGCAGGCACCTCTCAAACCCTATGTCAAACAGAGACATGCAGTAGCACGCAGGCTCGCTTCCCGGCCACCAATAAGCCCTGATGGTTATTCTGGCAGGAGCTGGCCACTTTGGCGTCTGAACGGCACTTTCTTCCCCGCATTCCAATTCTGCAAGATTTTCCTTTCTTTCCAGGAAAACCCACCTAATTAGATGCTCTTAACCCCACAGCCCTGGCTCTTTCCAAGGGAACAGGCAAGACCTGAAAGTTCAAAGAGTGGTCAAATGCACTGAACTGAACCACCTCAAGAAGCTGATCTGTAAATGTCTCCAGTGGTGGCAGGAAGGAGGAAGGTCCAGGGAGGGTGGTGAGCAACAGAGGGCTTCCTTCTCACGGAACGTCACATCCCTAATTAAAAGCTGCCCAGTTCAGGTCCTACAACCACTACATCCTGAAGGGAGCTCTGTTGGCCTAATGGTAAGAATTTGTGCTATGATCGCAGAGACATATAGTTTGAATCCACCAGCTGTTCTGTGGAAGTAGAACAGGCAATCTCTTCCCATGCGATTTACTGTCTCTGAAAACCCACTGGAGGGTCAGTGATGGGTCAGTTGCAACTCAAAAGCACCCAGCCACTACATCCTGGGCAAGGTAAAAGGTCAGCAAAAGAGCCAGACTGGCCGGGTGACAAGGGGCTTGAACAAGGGGGAGATGGTGAAGAGGGTGCAGAACAGAGTTCAGATCTAGGGTTCCCAGGGTCACAGTGGACTCAAGAGCATCGAATAATAACAACGACATACATGTAAGGGCCTGGAAGGGGGAGAAAACCTCAGCCAGGAACACTTATAAATATTCACACTTGCACATTTGATCACATCATTATTTGCACCAGGTGTGGAAGGCAATGTACTCCTGTGTCTGCACTGCTGCTCTCAAGCCCGGCACCTCCGCTCCCCAGCACACCCCAGATCACCTTGAACATAAACTCTGGGTATCCACCCACTGAGGACAGGTAAGTCCACTTCAAGAGAACAGGAAAAGGATTTCACCACTTCCTTATTCCCATGCTCCCAAGGCAAAAATCAACAAAGAATTTTCTCAGGCTCAAGCATCTACTCTAAACAGAGGTAAGTTTCTGAAGAGAAAGAAGTTAAAAGCCCCAACAGTGTCCAGCTGCTGACCCCCAAGAGTGACCCTGACACTGAAGAACTTGAACTTCCACAGAGGTAAGAAGCAGAGCCCAGCTGCACAAGGCAGCATTGTTAACGCAGAAAATCCTAGCAGGATGATACCATCACAGTAACACGTGTAGAGGGAACACGTCCTGTAAATATGTTTTAGCGTCTGTCGTATTACTTTTCAGAACTCACTATCAGATCAGAACTTTCTTTCTCCAGCTTGAAGAGTCAATCCTATTTCTACGGCACCTACTGTCACATTCCTTAAAGACTCACAAAGTTATTTAAATCTTCCTGCTTCAGTAAACCATGAAGCTTGAGCTAAGGCTTTATTGTTAAAGGTGCAATCATTTCTCAGCTTCCTAACTGGTGTCTATGGGGAAACCTTATCCCAGGGTCACCTTTCACACTCAGAGCATTTTAAAGGTGCCTGACAATTGGGACACACCTGGTTTAAAGGGAGTTATGTGGGCACGTCACAGCAGTGCCGGTGGGCTCAAGGAGCATACAGGCGTTCTCCAGTTTGCTCTGATAGCTACACCGTCCCTTTGGTCCATGACACTGGAGACTGGCCGGCCATAAGAACATCTCCCTATTAATATTCAGAAAGAAAACCAAGTTCCTCAAGTACTGTAGCTATAAATATCATAGCTGCCCTTGGAACACAGTTCTTTGCTTGGATTCAAGAACCAATCTGAGCGCCTATATTGAGAAATGATACTGCAAACCACTGTTTTGTGATTATGTATCAATATTACGGGAGGGGAATCATCAAGGTAACAAATACTAAAAACAGTATCCAATCTAAGATGTTTCAAGACAAGCACTTGCCTTACAATTATCTAAGTGGATCAAAGCACACAAAAAGAAAACAGTTACTGGTAATTGCTACTCCAGTAGACATTCTTTCAATGTTAGGCTTTGAAAGCGAGTTTTGGTTCCAGACACAGGAGCAAAGCTTACCTGACTCCTCTCTTTGTCCACTTTCTTAAAACACTTATTCAGGGACAAATTATGTCTCACTGAGTTTTTCCACCCAGTAGGTGCATTTGCAAAATAGGGAAAATGTTCCAAGATCCAGTTATAGATTTCCTTGACTGGCAGGCGCTTGGTCGGGGAGTCCTCAATGGCCATAAATATGAGGCAGCTGAAGGAGTAGGGGGGTTTGCAGTTGGGGTTCTGCCTGGCATCGTAGGGCATGTCTGAGTGGGCGGGGGACGGGGGCGTGTCATCGTCCAGGTCCTGGACGGGGCTGACGCTCCTGAGGACAGACTCCCCGAAGCTCTTCAGCAAATTCTTGCTCTCGTGCAGCCAGTTCAAGTTGGTCAGCTCCTCATCTTCCATGGCCCCCTCTTCTAAGCGGATATCAGGCAGGGGAAAGTCGAGGTCATCATCCTCTTGAAGAGCCTTGGACAGACCACTGCCCCGGTAACACGGGCTCAGTCCACTGGAGACGCTAATTCCTGAGCTTTCCGGCTTCTTGCTGGGAGGCATGACGGGACCCATTTAGGTGAAGGCTCCTGAAACACACATTGGAAAGGAGGAATTGGTACCAGGCAGAAGAAAGGGCAGCCCGTCCCCTCCCAATCCCCGCCCTGCACCCCACCACCTTTACAAATCCATCACATGTCACAAACTCTGAGCAGAATAAACCCACAATTCCATTACAGCCACGTGGACCACAAGGGAAAACTGGTCTGAACAATTGCAAACAGCACAGCAACCTACACCACAATCCAAACCCACAGCAGTGGAATCTATTCACCATAGGAAGCTCTAGTGGCTTAAGTGGTAAGGAGTTACTCTGCCAATCCAAAGGCAGGCAGTTCAAATCCCTTACCTGCTCCTCAGCTCAGAAGAAAAGAAGGGCAACTTCCTTCCATGCAATTTACAGCCTATAAAACCCCCCTGGAGTGTCAGCTGTCAGTTCCAAGTGAGCTGCATAGACCACCACCATAAGGTAAGATCTTCAAGGCTATGAATCTTTATGGAAGCCAGCTACCTTACCTCCTCTCCTTTAGCTATATCCTGTAACTGCTACACCACCAAGGGTCTCTAACTAAGATATAAACAGACTAGACATTTGCCAGTCACTTGGTGAGCAAGAGGTTGAGCCTAGTTTTCACCTAGCTATGTCAACTCTGAAGCTGAGGTTCTTTCTATTATTATATAATTCCACCGCTGCTGTTGTTGTTACTGTGTATCATTGAGTCAGAATCGACCCTTCAGTGGGTTTTCAGAGGCTGTTAATTTTACAGGAGAAGAATGCCCATCCTTCTAACACAGAGCAGCTTATGGATTCAAACTCCGTGCCTTTGGGATTGCAGGGCAGTTTCTCACCACTAGGCCACCAGAACAACCCCTGCAGGGCAGCGTAGAACTCTCCATAAGGTTTTCAATATCAATCGTCTTTACTAAACCAGGCTGACTCATCATTCTCCCAAAGAGGGGCTGATGAGTTTGAACCACTGAGCTTTCTCTGAAATAAGAGAAGACTTAAGATGTCTGCTACATCTTCAATGTGCAAATGAAGTCTCAGAGCCATGTCGACAGTTATGTACCAGGCTACTAACAAAGGGTTGACAGTTCAAACCCACCCATAGGCAACCAGGAAGCAAAGCCTGAAAGTGTACTTTTTTGGGGGGACCCCAATCAATTCTGCTTTCATATACATGAGGTCACCCTAAACCTGAGTCAACTCCATGGTAAACATTTACATCCACTTGCATCACAAAAGAGAGTGGGGGGGAAACTGTACAGGGCTTCTCTCTGGATCGCTCAAGGCTCACCATGACGCTGAAGTAACTGCCCGTTATTCTTGGTGCCTCATTTGTCCCACTGTGAATACAGACACAGGAAGATTCTTTCAAGGCTCATGATAAACACTACAAAATCAGCACAGTGCACTATTCCTGCCACCTTACCGGCATGTGTGTGTCTCACTGTTTATACACTTGATCCTCCTTATATAAGAGGGGGAGAAACCCTTAAGTTTCAAGCCAGTTGTTTCAGATTAAGTTCAGCTGTTTCCATTTGAAAACCATCACAACTGCCTTGCAATTAAAACTGAGGTCACACTGTGCACGGATTTTCTTTCTCCCCACCACCCCACAGAAGGGGTGACCGAAAACTGTGCAAGCTCCTGACAGGAAACAGGCCTACAGAACAAATACAAGGAATTCTGCAAGTGTAACAGGTCGAAGAAACACATTTACAAGGTAGGGATGCTCCTCCCAGGATGCAAAAGCCAGTGGATTCAGGGCCTGCACTAAGAGAGGTTGTGACCACAAGACACTGGGGGAAATTTAGCTGGTTTTGAAGGTCGAGCCCAAGGGGCAGCTTCACGACGAACAGATGAGCTCAGCCCAAACTGCAATCAACTCCCTGCTCACCCTCTATCTTCTGCCTCCAACCCCGTTTTTATCAATGATCTAGAACAGGGAGGAAAATAATTGGGCGAAAATGGCTCTTGAGGAGATGGCAAGTCCACCAGCAGCATGAACTGTGTAGACATGAGATAGTAGCATCCAACACTAGACCCACAGAATAAAGAAGTCTCCTGATCTCTGGCTGTAGCTTGAAAACCACAAGCTTGTGTGTGTGTGTGTCTGTGTGTGTGAGAGAGAGAGAAAGAGAGAAACAGACAGACACACCACACACACACACACACACACACACACACACACACACACACACACCCTGGAAAAATAAGTCACTATGCCCATCCAAAGCAAAGCCATAATGTTTGGAAGCTCTGAAAACCCATTATTAGCACAATGTCTACAAGCACTGCCATTTCAGCCAGGAAAGCTCTAGAATGGAATTCTAGAAAGTGAAACGCGGGCCACTGAACAGCCTGCCAAGAGAGTGTGAGAGCTGCAGCCATCTGATGCCTCCTAAGATGGGCTGGCAAAACTCGCTCACAGGCCCCTGGAGTTGCTGTGATACACACACCACTGAAGAGAGAAAACTTCCCTGGGGGGGCTACAAGCCATTCGTTCTGGAAACCTTGTTTGTTCACCCACAGAGATGTGTTTTCTGTCAAATGAAGTGGCTTTCCTGAGTCCTGTTCTAGCTGTCTACCGTTAAGCCCAGAAAGACTCAGTTTCTCCTGAGAAACTGCCTCGTAGATTTGAATCTTTCACCTTCCGGATGTCAATGCAATTCCTTACCACTAAGCCACCAGAGCTCCCTCCCAGGTGTTAAAACAAAAGTCAAAGCAAACACCCTGCCTTCAGGTTGGATCTGGCTTGGAGCGACCCTGAAAGCCAGAGCAGAAGCGTGCCATCATGGTCCCAAGGCTGTGAATCTTTTCCAGAAACAGGCTACCTCTTCCTTCTCCTGCAAGGTTCGAACTGCTGACCTTCCACGCAGCAGTCAGATACTTAACCTGCTGTGTCACAATTGCTGCCTGAGAACTAAGCAGCATCTTTTAGGGAAAACATAAGCGTGTATCTTTGGGTCTGGGCATATGACATAGTGCAGCTTGATCTTTTCACGTCTTGAGGGAGACCTCAAAGCCCCGCCTTGTGCACCTCGCAAAGTTTTCTCAGATCTCTGCAGAAAAATCTGACTTTCTGATAAAATAGATCCTTGAGCAGAGGCGAAATGAGCACATCCACGCTGCCATGGAAGGCAACTTTCAGCTCCAAACGAAAAAAGTTTTATGTCTCCTAAGCTTCCAAACAGGAAAATTATATCATGGCTGACAGTAAAGTAATTTAATTGCACCGTTGCTATGACAACCTGCTGCTCTCTTTCTTTTTAATTTGCTTACTTGTCAGTAGCTTCCCAAAGGAACTAACACGCTATTCTCCATGTTTCCTTTTGTTTTAAACAAACACTGGCAGCGATGTGGTTCTCGCAGAAAAAATCGGCACTGTCCAGAAAGGAAGGCGCGCTCGCATCCCCTCTCTCCGCATTTTGGGGTACCCCCTCCGTGCCAACTCCATCTGCTTCGCACTTCATAGCAACGGCACAAAGAGAGGCTGATCGCTCCAGTTCCATTTAAAAAGCACTTCCCAGAAACCACAGCTGAGGAGTTTTCCATTATGATCCTCACATACCTTGCCAAATCTTCCACCCCCCTCCCATTTTAAAGTAAGGAAAGGAAAAAAGAAAAAAGGGGGGAGGGAGAGACAAACCCAAACCACCGAATCCAAACCACTTCGGGTCATGTGAGTCTGCAGTTAAGCAAACGTTTCTTAATCTGGTGCCAATAAGGCTGCTCCACCAGCAGCTAATTATTGTTGGTCACTGCTGACCTCCTTACAACTTTTCAGTTTGTTATTGGTTACATTACACACGCACATATTACACACACACCCTTTTCTGGTTTTTCCCTGACTCTTGCTATGTGTTGTGATCTTTTTTTTTTTTCCATTTCCTTTTGCACGGAGCAAAACGCAGCCGCCACGCTAGTTTGCGTTTGTTGGGGGGGGGGGGTGTTTCTTTGCTCGCCAAGAGAAAAATCTCCAAATACCTGACAAAGACGCGCGGGGGCCCGGCTTGGAACAGATGTTGGATGAGAACTTTACAAAGTTGAGGCTGCAAGCGGGGCGGGGCTGGGCGGCCCGTCCCTGGGCCCCGCTCCCCCTCACCGCGCGCACGCGCGCCCCACTCGCGGCTACTGTACTTGTCAAAAACATTTCAAGGGGACCTGCGGGAGCGCCGATTGGCCGAGGCGCGCGTCCATCAGCGATGTTGCCAGGCAACGGGAAAACTGCTCTTCTCCGCGTATACAGGGCAATTGGGAGCTCACATACCTTCACTGCCGGTCAGATGTCATAAACCTTTTATTAGCCGCGCCACGGCGAGCCTAATAAACAAATCAATACAAGCCCGCCGTCTCCCAACTTCTTCAGGGCCCAAAGAGGGGTTCCAAAAGGCCCAGGGCGATGGGGGTCGGGCCCAGGGCGAGGGGTCTTTGCGTTCTAGCTCGAGCCAACCCTGCACACTTTGGGGGGTGGGGGATCTTTGTTAGGAGCCTGTTTCTCATCTTGGGGTGGCCCCTCGATCGGCAACCTCACCCCTGGTCGCAACTGCGAGGATCGCGTCCTCCACGGACAATACCAACTATGTCTCTTGGGCATCTTCTCTGGAACCGAAGCAGCAGGACCCCCGGCACGTCGAGACTGTAAACTCCACACACCGGGCAACTTCGCGCCTTGGGGTCCCCTGGCCCCACTGGGCCAGCCCCTCGCCCGCGCCCTCCCCCTGGAACTGCGGAGTCGTGGGTCCTCCGGGCGGCGGATCGTCCCCAGGAACGCCTCAGACCAGCTGTCGCCCGGCCTCCACCCGAGTCGCCCTAGAGCCATAGGGGCGCCGGCCAGCGCGCAGCCCCACTCACCTGGCCGGAGCGGGGCGCGGGGGCGCCGCTGCCCTTCAGTGGGAGCCGACAAAGTTTGGCGGGGCGCAGCGAGCATCGCTGGGTGG